CCAGTTATATTATTGTCAGCGTCAACAGATAGCTTGATTGAACACGATAGCATAGCATTAAAAACAACTGTATAACTAAGCACTAAAATTCGGGCTATCTTTGAGATGCCAAATTGAGAAAATATGTTCTGAAGTTGAAAAATGGCATCAAACACACCACACGCACCCGGCTCACACATTTCAAAGTGGCCTCAAAACGGGAAAATGGCTTCAAACTCATCAAAAGCAGAAACCCTCAGAATAAAACACCAAAACAACCTTCAAATATCCAAAAATTGTCTCAGAAGCCCGAGGGATGTTGTTACTGAGGTCCTATGTTTTTAGATACTATGTTTTCAAGAAAAACTTTTTCAAAGAGTTACGTCTGTTTGTCTGTGCTAGAATGGCTAAAATGTATTTGAAATCCCCGCAAAAATGACCTTTAAATCACAAAAATAGTTCTGTTTAATTTAATTAAACTAGCTTTGAAACGCCATAAAACGCAAAATTGGCATTAACATTCCAAAATGGTTCAGAAATGCTAACATATTTAGGACTATGTATGGGAAAAAGGATTCCATTAAGATATTTTTTTTATTATTTTTATTATAGTCACTTTAACACTCTTGGGTCATTCGTGACTTGATGAGATTTGAATTCGTGAATCTGGTGTGAGAAGCATGGATGCAGGAGCCGCCCCCATTAGCAACTTTTTGATAACTTGAAGTTCAAACAATTGCCAAACCATTGAAACCAATATCTTAAATGTTACTCACCTTCGATTATCCAGACAATATTTTAAAATATAAATTGGAACATGTATAACTAAGTTGTCTGAATGTCTGCGACCCATCGAAGGAGAGCCCGTGAACCACCGGTGGGTCATGACCCATAGATTGAGAAACGCTGCTTTAAAATACTCTCTGAAATCACTTCAGATTTGATTTAGAATTCCCTGGAGCTGTACTGATCATAGTCTCTTCAGAAATACCATGGAATTCATCAACTTTAGTTCTTCTTACTATTTTCTTGAAATGTTTTTCAAAATTACCTAACACGTCTAGTCCAATTATTTTATAATTCCTCTAAATTATTCCTCAAGAATTAATTGGCATTCAAATCAAAATATTCTAGACAATTCTTCGGAGTCAGAATCGTAAAATCTTGTCCAAGTCCAAGAGTCCTGATTTTTTTAATTGTTGTTGAGGAAAACAATAGCTGGTAGAGGGAAATAATAACTGCAATTTCAAAATCATCGACTAGATGCTTACGTAATATGGCGAATTGAGAGTGTAACAATCGATAGAACTGTTTCCGCATATCGGAGCTACAGGAGCGAATCGGTGATTATCTTTGTGGTGGGGGGAAACACTCTCACCACCCCTCATCAACGGATGAGTTTGATAAAGGGAATGTTCGATCCCATTAGAACCTTCCTCAAAATTGTTCGTTGCTCGCTTTCTACTTTCTATATACAAAAACTATCGGAACTTTCATCTCCTCATCTATTGTATAAAATATTAATTTTAAGTCTGATATTGACATTAAGTTTTTTTTATGATTCTCTACCAATCTATTTCGAAACCTGCCAACGTAACATGTTGCTCCACTGAGGCAAATAGACCTAAGAATTTCGTAAGGCTCAACTTATGAACAACATATATGAATTTCATAAGCGTGACTGATGAATGATTTTCGGCTAACATGAGGTAGCCCTTATACGCCTTAAACCATTTCATTTGAAAGCGTTGAAAGACGAGTGGTCAACACACGGGCGCCCTAACCGCAACGTGCATATTTCGGTTCCAGTCTGCTCCGATTTATTATATTTTTGTTAACATTATTTTCCATAAGGTAAATCAATGAACTTCACACAACTTCATTTCTTATGGCTAAAATTCATAAGTGTTTCTTATGTAATTCTTACGTTCTTTTGCCTGCGTGTATGGCAAATAAGTACTACAAGGCATTGGTAGATCGTTTGTAGTAAACACATTAAGGCTTAACTATGAATTTCAAGAAACCTTTTTTGTAATTTCTGTTGAAAATACACTTCGCACACGGTTTTAGCATCAGATTCGGATTCAAATCTAATAAGTACAATTATAATTTCTAATCGAAAGTCATTTGAGGGGTTGATCAATTTTACCCCATAACATTATTTTCAAATTTGAGATTTCAAAAATGTACTGATAATAAACAAAACACAACTCAATATGATAAGCAATCATGCAAATCGATAGACATTTTAGCTAATGAATTTAATACTATACGATTTTCAATTTGTTGTTGGCATTTATTTCTATATTTTCATAACACCTGGCGCATATTACCATATAAAAAATTGATTCTATAAAATTCCCCAGAATGCACCATTCTCCAGAAAAACATTCCCCAGAATTTACCATTCCCCAGAATGTACCATTCCCCATAAAAGATGATGAAATTAGTAATTGTCACTTTTTTTTAGTATTGATAATACACTATGTTTACTTTTATGGAACTATGTATTTATCAATTCCAAACCATTTTTTAGCTCTTTATAAAATGACAACCTTCAAGTTTTCGAGCACTTCGTTCATCATTTAAAAAGTCAAAGGGTCTATTATGCAATCCAATTCAACCAGTCGGAAACTGTTAAACCTTATCGAAGAATTGTTCGACCTGAGTTGAAGAATTTCTCGTGAACTACCGATTACTAATTTATAACGTTATTCCACACGTTATTATCCCGAATGGGCATTACTCCGAATCCCTTGCGAAAAACTATTGATTATATATTTTCCTTATTTATTAAAAGAAGGGAATATTCCCTTCTTTATAGTTTATTTAACGAATTAATTATGTTTTCTTTTAAATATTAAAAGAAAGGAATATTCCCTTTTTTATCGTATATCCAAAGAATTAATTATTTCCTTTTGTTATATTTTCAAAGAAAGAAAATATTCCCTTCTTTATCATATATATAACGAATTAATTATGTTCTCTTTTATATTTTAAACGAAGGGAATATTCTCTTCTTTATCGTATATCTAAAGAATTAATTATTTTCTTTTGTTATATTTTCAAAGAAAGGGATTATCCTCTTCTTTATCAAATATTTAACGAATTAATTATGTCCTATTTTATTTATTAAAAGATGGGAATATTCCCTTCTCTACCGTTTATCCAAAGAATTAATTATTTCCTTTTGCTATATTTTCAAAGAAAGAAAATATTTCCTTCTTTATCAGATATTTAACGAATTAATTATGTTCTCTTTTAAATATTAAAAGAAGGGAATATTCCCTTCTTTATCGTATATCCAAAGAATTAATTATTTCCTTTTGCTATAGTTTCAAAGAAAGAAAATATTTCCTTCTTTATCAGATATTTAACGAATTAATTATGTTCTCTTTTAAATATTAAAAGAAGGGAATATTCCCTTCTTTATCGTATATCCAAAGAATTAATTATTTCCTTTTGCTATATTTTCAAAGAAGGGAAAAGCCCTTGATGCATTAAGAAGTTTTTCTCTTCTTTTTATATACGCGAAATAAGATTCCAGGAGTGACTATAATAAACAAAAATAGTCAATCTAATGCATGGCATACTTTTCTGGGGAATGCTTTTCTGGGTAATGGTGCATTCTGGGGAATGAGGTTCTAGGGAATGGTTTTCTGGGGAATGTTATAGAAGCTAAAAAATTAAAATACTGTTTTGAGAAGAATTTTTGTAAAATAATTTCCTCGAACATAAACGCATATTTTCATAAATGCATGTTTAGTGTATCATTAAGAACGTTCATAAGGCTAATGAATGCACTGAAATAGAATGTATAATTTTCATAAATAAGTTGGTCGACCATTTCATCGGGGGACGCGTACTATCCCACGTTCCCCTACCCCATTCTTTATTAAATATTTGATGAAAAATAGGCACAAAAACAACAATTCTATGCTGAAGAACGAGCAGAAATGAAAGGAAGGAGTTGATGTAAATTAACTTTTAGTTTAAAGCAAAGTCGATTATTAACCATTATGCCAATCTTCTTTATGTCAAATGTACCAAACCCCTAATAAATTATAAGTTTGAAAAAAATCAATTTCAACAAAAACAATGAAGCAATTATCTGGGCTACAATGCTGCAGCCGACACGAGAGTTTTTTTGCTAATATTATAGTTGTTTCAACTAATAATTATCGTGGTTATGCTGATCCCACAGCCAACCACATTTCCGATTGCCATCACCAGGCAATTGTTTATCAACATTCGTGCAATCGGAATTCATACGCTGGCAACTTTGGAACGCGTGCTGATACGCGCGTATCGTGAGAGAGCTACAATATTTGCACGTACACACACACACGCGCCCGCTCGTGAACGGTTATACTTTTCTCCCGCACCAGCAATCACACACCAGCTCACCCCAAGTCAAAGAGCCATAGCAGTGACTTTTCCAAAAGGGAGAATTTTTCCTCCACAAACACGCACACCACTAAGACTCACTGGGGAAATCCAGGACCATACGATTCCTTCAGAGCTCATCACTGAACGCATTTTCCTGCCACTGCCGTAATTTAGGACACAATGCAGCAGCCCCAATGATGGATCCTTCGAATATGGTCAACTCAAACTTCTAGCTTTGACCTTTCCGCTTTCGTAGAACTTCAACCTCGAATCGGATCGTGCACTTAATACGGCAAAATTCTTACAACCATTCTGCCTAGCAAATTTTCCATTTTCCTTCTGGCTGGCAGCCATTTTCATTTCACACCACTACCGTGATTTTCAAATGTCAATATCGAAAGAAGACATTTTTCCGAGCAGCATTTTCCTTCTCCCATCGGAAAGGTATGATTCAAGATTTTTCACCGATGATTGTCCAGATCTTCCCTGGATCTGCAATGGCAGCTACGAGGCAATGCAATGACTAAACTATAAGAAGATACCTCCAGAAGGTTCAATTATGCAATTACGGAGTCCTTCAGGCTGCTATACGGGTATATGAAGTGATATTGAGTAAGGTGATGATCATTTACCTATGAACTTTTCGTCAACATCTATCGAGACATACGGATCGATGAGTTGATCGCTGAGTCTGCCGAACGTCATCGTATGTCGCGTTTGAAAATCCGTCGGTCGCAGGCCACAGGCTTCGCAGACTTTCAGACGCAGGGTACCCGTAAACATTTTCCCGTCCTGGTAATCCCAGTTTTCAGTGCTGAAGAAGATGTATGATGTTGTGTGCCTATATCCTAGAGGCTTAGTCGAGATGTAGCTGACGGTTCTCGAAATCGATATTCTATGCACTGGAATCACCTTTCTCTTCCTTCCTTTCAGCACTTTTTCACACACTTTTCATTCGGTTGGAAGGATCATTCCACTTTTTGACTATGCTTTTTTTCTCTTAATTTTCTGCAGGCTCACTATATTCTTCACGCGATGGACCTTCGTTGGCTGTATCCCACGAAAATTTCCTCTTCACTGCAAATCCCCCGAACAGCACTACCGATAACCACAAAAATGGATCACGCCCGCACAAAACAAAAACTCAAAAAACCTAATGCATATCACAAGAATTGGTAAATTTTCCTCCTTTGCCGTGTGTATCCTTCTGCTTTTTCCCTATCGAACCAGAGGAGAAAAAAGTCGAATTTTTCACTTCTCATACATTTCTGCACCATCAAACCTTTTTTCACTGACTGACTGACACGGGCTCCGAGGAAAACGCAGGCACCAATGCTCGAGAGCGAGAAGCTGAGCGCTCTTTTTGCTCGGAGAAACGAGATTCTTCTTCTACAAACTCACATTTGGATAAGAACACATACCGAGCACAACTTGTCAGTTCCACCGTGTCACGATATGATATCCAAGCATCATGCAGCACGGGAGATTCTGTACACAAAATATGCGCTTGTATTGGTTTGTGGATATGATGCTCCTAATACTGAGTATATGAGACAAGAGAAGCATATAACACACTGGACGGAATGATAGTATACTATAGTTAGTCATGTATTGGCAACAGCATTCCCAGTAGCACAGGCACAGGTGAGGAATTTCTCTCTGATCCGTGAGTCCATCCACTTGTACTTTCTCTTGCCTTTCCCCGTTGATATAGTGCTTCTTCCTGGGAAGGTTTCGCAAACACTTTCTATACGGATACTACATCTGACATCATCTCGTCTCCGTATGGGTACAACTAATACGACACAACGGGTTCTCTTTTATGATTTAAATACTATACCACAGTTCACTTGCCTGCGCTGACAGATGTCTCACTCGCGTGATGTTGGCTCTGTGTGTGCAAGAGGCGAGACGAGAGCACTGATCTCACTGTGTATAGTTTACACTGACATCTGCTGCTTGTATCCGTCAGTGTCATGTTGCAAATAAAACGGGATTTCTAAAAATAAATTGCTCCGCTCGAAAATCTGCTTTACCATCGTACCGTGTGCGGTTATTTAAGATGACCGTTGGGGATTTCTTGTGGTTTGTTGTTATTTCCCATCGTTATTAATAACGTTATGTGATGAAATTTGTAGCGTGTTGGTGTTCTTTTAGTTTATTGATTTATGTCGTTAACCAAGCGTGTTGACCATTTTGCTTAAATTATAATAACATTTGTTGCCTTATTAATAAATACTAATAAGAAACTAAATCTACTATTAGACTGAACAACACACATCTAGACAGTTTATAAGTCACAATTTTTGACTGTCTAACATTTGTTTGGCACCGTGTTGACACACTGGAGTTCAGATCTTAAAGTTCTATAGAATTAACCTGCTATTATACGATGTCCCAGTGAATTTTTGCGCTCTTAGAGCTCCGAAGACCCCATAATATCACGTGGGATGTATAGATGTAATACCCAAGTATTTCGGGTTCTCCAAATTATCCATGATTTAACAGTAATCTTGAAGTTCTTCCTCTTATAAACACGAAATCCAAACTTTGCCTAAAAAATAAACATCTAATATTTAAACAAGTTTTTCCACCGGCCATGCTTTATGCTGTGCCAATATAGTCTAGATGTTGCACTACCAGGAAAAAATCACTTCAAAGGATTCAGAACAAAGTTCTGAAGATTATTTTGAAGTTGCCTCTCTGGTACAGTACTTTCGAGGGACATAGAATCCTGAATTGCAACGATTAATTCTCTTTATACTTAGATGAGAAATAGGCTTAGTTTTTAGTTTTAAGATGTCAATTGTTATTCTGACATGCAGGTTTAGAAAACCTGTTTAAAATACTGAATTGCCAAGACAGGAACAATGTAACGAACACTTAGATACATATTATAACAATCAAGGCTGGTAAGTTAAAGGAATTAGGAAGTAGCTGGAATACCTAGGTTAAAATGAAAGGTTGTTTATTTTAAATTTGAAACAAATAAAGAGTTACAACAACAAAATCTTGAAGTTCTATACACTTAACATACGCTTGTAACATGGTCTTCCACGATGTTCCGATATACTGTATGAATCCGTGAAACTTCACATCACTCACAACGTCGCAACTGTCGAGAAGTGCATATAATGAAGTTCTACATGCTCAACAAACTCTTCTACGTACGATTCCACGACAAACGGTTGTAGTTCACACTTAGATTTTTTCGCCGAGATGGGCACCACCGAGCAGCTCGGCATTTTATTTTGCTGGTTCTCAGTGAAAAACTTGCCGAGATTCAGCTAACAAACGGGAATTTTGCCGAGATCTCAGCTAACAAACATATTTTTTGCTGAATTTCCAGCAAAATAAAATGCCGAGCTGCTCGGTAGTGCCCATCTCGGCAAAAAATCTAAGTGTGTTTGTCGTATGGTTTACGTTCATCTAAAAGTAAAGTGGGAATTATTCAGAACAGGGATGCCAGGTGTATTTCAGGGGGGCTAGCAAACCGGAAAAACCTGACAAACTGGAAAACCCGGGAATTCGACGGGAGAACCAGGAAAAATTAATAAAGCCTAATAAAGGCAGGCTTGAACATACTCATTACAGCTAAAATGCTACTTTTCGAAATTATGAAACTATGAGATATTACAATAGTAGTAAGCTGCAAGAAGAGAAGATAAAGTTTGTGCATGACACATAAAACCTCACAATTTCGCTTCCAGAGTGTCACAATTAGCGATTAGAATTGTAGAGAGTAATTGAAACACGTCTTTATCGGTTGACGTTGAACAGTGGAATGAAAATTTTATTCAGAAACTTAGCAACTAATAACAAGTGCATATAGCGACGCGAATTACTGGGTTGCTACGATCACAATACTCCTCCCTAATCCGCGACGCCAGTTAGCTTCCGAAACTTCTGCTGCTTCTGAACGGTCATCGGCTTCGTGAACCCATTGGCTGGCTGTTCCGTTGTCGACGTGTAGCTCAGTTGGACGACACCATGCTGCAGGCTATCATGCACGAAATGGTACCGTATACTGACGTGCTTGGTCCGGGGGTTATACGAACCGTTGTTGGCGATGCTGATTGCCAATTGATTATCGCAGCACACGGAAATCGGTTTGGCCTCGCAAAACTGCGACTGCAGATTACTCCACCACATAGCTTCCTGGATCGTGCGAGACATGGCCATGTATTCCGCTTCACAGGACGAAAGGGCTACGGTAGGCTGCTTCTTGACGTTCCACGAGATCGCACCTCCCTGCATCATGAACACATAACCGGTTGTGGATTTCCGGTCGTCCGCATCTCCTCCCCAATCGGCATCGCTGTACCCAACTATGTCCGCTGGACCGCTTGTCGAGTACTCTAGCTTCTTGGTTATTGTACCTTTCAGGTACCGGATTATCCTCTTCACCGCTTCCCAGTGAGGACGGCCAGGGTTGGCACTGTACTGGCTCACAACGTTGACGGCAAAAGCAATATCCGGTCGGGTGACTTGAGCTGCAAACGACAAACACCCGACTGCTTCCTTGTATGGCACTGACTTCATTTCTTCCATTTCAGATTTCGTCTTTGGTGCCATCGACTTGTCCAACTTGATGCTTGGATCTGCTGGTGTTGCAACTGGGTGGGCATCGGCCATACCGAAGCGATTGACGATGTCTTCGATGTAGGCTTGTTGATCCAACCACAGCTTGCCTTCTTCACGCTTCCTCGTGATTCTGATGCCAAGACATTGTTGCGCCTCCCCGAGGTCTTTCATTTGGAACCGCTTGTGCAGATGGGCCTTCAGCTTCTTCTTTTGCTTCCGATCGTTTGTGAAAATCAAGAGATCGTCGACGTAGATAGTCACAAACATCATCTTTCCTCCACGGATGCACCAGTACAAACAGGGATCCACGCTCGACCGTTTCAGTCCGAACTCCTGCAGCACCACATCCAACTGCGCGTTCCATACGCGGCTGGACTGCTTGAGACCGTAGAGGGCCTTCTTCAGTCTGCACACCTTTCCATTCGACGCATCGAACCCTTCTGGCTGGAGCATGTAGATCTCCTCGTCCTTCAGCTCGCTCTGCAGGAATGCAGTGACCGCGTCCATTTGGTCAATATCCAAGTTGTACCGCACCGGCAGTGCCATCAGATACCGGACGGTCGCGTACCGCACGACCGGGGAGTACACCTCGTCGTAGTCCAGACCAGGTCGTTGAGAGCAGCCCTTCACCACGAGGCGGGCCTTGTACCTCTGGATGGTTCCGTCGAGACCTCGCTTCGTTCGGTACACCCACTTGTTCCGAATCGCTTTCCGCCCTTCAGGCAGATCGGTGAGCACCCACGTGCTATTCTCGCTGAGGGATGCAATTTCCTCACGCATAGCCGCAATCCAATGATCTCGGTCCGGCCGCCGCAGAACCTCATCGTAGCTCGTCGGATCATCCATCGTATCAGCGTCGCTCGTCGTATTGAAGGATAACTGAGGGTAATGAACACCACCAGAAAAGGAACCGTAACTAATAAAGTCATTATACTTGCCTGGATTACGGCGCTCCCGACCGCTGCGCCTTAACCCTTGCTGCAACTCAGCTGGTCTAATCAGTTGCGGTGGGAGCGCAAAATCGGCACAGGCATCCTCGAATTCGTCTGCCTCACTGGACGAACTGTCGACAACGACGATGTCTTCCTCCGTTGTTTCGGTTTCACCAGGATTGCCACCCGGTTGATCGATAACAACAGCAGGCCCGGCTGCACCAGGTACGACGATGCCATTCGGTTGTTCGCCTAGAGGAAGCACAGCGTGTTGACCATCTTCAGGAGTATCAGCTGCACCGGACTCAGGACGATCATGGATTTCATCCGAACAAAGCTCCATGAACTCCACCGGCTGCACTCGTTGTTCTGCCATACAGATAGCGACGCCTTCTTCCAGTACCATGACATCTCGGCTAACGTGGAAACGGTCATTCTCTGGATCATACACCCGGTAACCTTTCGTGTCTTCACAATAGCCGACGAAAATGCCTTTCTCGGATTTGGGTTCAAACTTCTTCCTTTTCGCTTTCGGTACCAGAGTCATCACGCTCGAGCCAAAAATCTTGAGGTGCTTCAAATGCGGCTTCTTTCCGGTCCACGCCTCTTCCGGCGTTTTCTCTTCCAGGGAACGAGTAGGACATCGATTCACCACGTGAGCCGCGGTCGAAATAGCTTCTGCCCAAAACTCTTTTCCCAGCTTCGCATCGTTGAGCATGCACCGCGCCTTTTCAACCAGCGTGCGGTTCATGCGCTCTGCCGCCCCGTTCTGCTCAGGCGTATACGGGCACGTGGTTTGATGTCGAATCCCATCGGACTCCAACACCTTCCGGAAATCTGCATTCACGTACTCCTTTCCGTTGTCTGAACGCAAGATTTTTAGCTTCTTGCCCGTCTGTCTTTCCGCTTTGGCCTTGAACGACTTGAACGCTTCGAGTGCTTGATTTTTCTGCTTCAAGAAGTAAACCACCACCCGCTTGCTTGCATCGTCCAGGAACGTCATGAAATAACGGCTTCCACCCAACGACGAAATCTCCACTGGTCCGCAGAGGTCGGAGTGTACCAACTCCAACAGTTCTTCAGCTCTTGACTCGCTGCTTGGGAATGAACGCCTCGTATGCTTGCCCTTCAGACAGGCAACACATCCTTCTAACGACCCATCTTGGAAATCTATTCCGTTGGCGATTCGCTTGAGCTTCTTCAAACCACCTTCGTGAAGATGCCCCAGACGTCGATGCCAGAGCTCCATGCCGCTTGCCAAAAACGACTTCTCTGGCCAATTGACTCTGTAGAGGCCACCTTCCTCGACGCCGGTGACAACCAGATCACCGTCTTCGTCCCGAACTTCGCATCTGTCTTTGGTGAAA